GGACAATAGGCAAGCTTTCATAATCAAGTGACACTGTAATTAATGAATTAAATTAATGACAGTCGATGCTTCCCCATACCCATAAATACAGCATTTTCAGGTATATCAAATAATCTTTTCATTATATCCATGTAAAATTCTCTAAACTTGCAAAAATTGCATTAACTTGCGTAAATTTTATTCAAGTGAAAATATGCATTTTTTAGTTAATAATTGGGCATGATCCATGTAGATAGTAAATTTACATTATTTGAATTGTATAATATATATGTAAATGTTTTTTTTTTTCTTTTTTACGGATTAATAATGACAAGATCATGATGTGGTAGTCATTGTAAAATTATTAGGTCCTACATTTGGAGTCCAATGAAACAATTCCACGTAGAGCTGACAGAAAAAAACACGTTTGGAATCTAGTATAACACCAGGAATATTCACAGAACACAACAACACATAAATGTTATCATAATAATATCTGAATAAAGTGGAATAATACGGAAGAAATATTTTTCTATATTAAAATAAAATTTCATCTTCATGTGATCTTATTTCATTACACTCTGAAAATATATGTACATACTTAATATTTTTTCTGGTAGGGGAAAAAATGGAAGCTGTAACCATAAAAGTGCGTTGGGAGATTGCGTTATTAGATGGATAATTTAATGCAAGGAGGAATTATGATAAGAGGATAAGACACAGCCACGTATGTTCTGTCGCCTATTATGGGTTATATATATTGTTTGCAGAATAAATTTTTTTATTATAGAACTTGTCGTTAATATATTTAGATTTTTTATCTTTTTAAAATTTAAAATATTTTGTTGTTAATAAATATTTTTGTTAAATAATTTTGTTCAATATTTTGTAATAGTTGATGATCTTTTTTATGCTTTTGGTGGGTCATTTGTTTATTTAGGCTTTAGGACAGTTCTAACATGTGTATGATATTGTCCTATGCAGCATGGGGTGAGGTTTTTCTTAGCTTGAAAGTAAGCTAATAATCACTGTTATCTCCTTCATTATGTTATTTGAACTAAAGTATCTTATTAAAAATTAAATAAAAATTTCTAAGAAGTTTTGGACTAAAATACTCTTAATGGTAATGTGAAGGATAATGTTAACTGTTTAAAATTGATGCGTGCTAGAAGATACGAGACATTAGAGTGACTATTTAGTATATTATCATCACATGAAATTCCAACATATACTCAAAGGATAGAGGTGACAGGTAGAGACACCGAAAGTTTTTATGTAGAAAATCTGGAGAGGAAAATGTCACTAGGGACACCCAATTAGAAATAATTCACTATAGCTTGATGAGTATATGTACATGCTCTTATCCCACAAATAGGAAATGATCCCACATTTATAGTTTTTGGATGTATGAGGACGTTGTACAGCAGTCGGAAGCAGTTGTAGTTGTCGCAACTTAGTTGCATTGTCTTCGAAGTGCATCGTCGTGCACTTTTTGAGATGAAGTGTTGTTCCTTAAAATGCTCCACTGCTATGTGATATTGATTGTTACTTTGTATAGCGCTTTGTTGCTTGACAGTGTTGGTAGCTACTCTGCAGAACACTTCATTATTCCACAACATTAGTAGTTTTTCACCAAGTTGCGTCATTGCAATGAGTAGGGGGTAGCCAATGAGCAGTGGTCAATTGTGGTCGGTGGCAACAAAAGCGCGAAGCGTTCATCGTATCTTTGATGCATAACAATAGATTTCAGCTCCTTCTCTTCCCGATCCTCCTTCAAGCTCATATACTAGTCCTATCTTCTGAAGAGGTAGAGCTTTATTTATACAGTCTAGGAGAGGCTTCCTGGTGAATAGAAAAAGAATTCAGACCACTCCATTAGACTGTCTAGATAGATCTCCTTGATTGTACAATATTTTGTGGACACTTGAGTGCCTTAACAATTTCAGAATTAAATGATCTTAGTCTCGATGAGATGAAGGATTCATCTCATCGAGACGTTCGATTTAGCTATAAGCTCATTGGATTTAGAATCTATTTGAACTTCCAAAAAAAGCACCAAAAGCTTTCGAAGATAGTTTAACAGCTTGATATAAGATTTATCTAACTCGGATTGGGTCAATTTTGGCGTCAATGTGTTCGTCTCGTCAAGCCTATCACCATGACTGTAAGTTTGTTGAAATCAGAGTTATGGATTATTTTTTATTAAAGTTTGAATATTTTTTGCTCAAAAAATTATCCCACGATTCATAAAATGCCTCAAGATGGCAACTGGATTTTTTTATATATAGAATGAAATTATATTTATATAT